GGAAGAGTGATTAGGTCTATACCACAAGTGTTATTGTTGAACACCAGAGAACAAGTGAAGCAGGTCTCCTTGAAGCTTCGGATTAGTCTTTGTTGTTATTAATGTAGGTAGGTCGAGTAGGCGTACTGTTGTAAGTCCTACTCGTTCCTATAGTGTCATATGCTACATAATGAACCATGACCATAGGCATCAAGGTAGCTTGTGTGATATGGAGGGATTTTGGGGGCCGGTGTAAGATCCATTTTGAATGCTTTGTGTTTGTGAAAATCCCTCCATGTATATACTTGCACTTTGTTCCTATTGATCCTCTTAGTTGTACATTGTTAACTTTTTGGCTACATTTGAACTGTTAATATTTGTATTTTATTATAGTTTTCGTTTTTACTACACCTTCACTAATTCCCCATGTTTCTTCCCGAACTGCACTTATGTTGTTTTACTTTATACTAAGTCTGGGCGGCAGCCATTTGGGTTTATCCCTGCCTTTGATTGCTTGACCTGTGTTGACTGGAATTGTGCATTTTGGTTGTGAATTGAAGCACTCTTCCAGAATTGAAAACACTCTGTGTTATAGAGCGACCAATTATTACCTTTTGAACGAATCTGTACGTGATCTATCCAGACAGGATAGAATAACATTTATTTGTGGTGATTGGTAATTTTCTTGCATCCTTTATCAACTTTCTTATTTATTGTAATTTAGATTTGATCAATTGGACAATTATTGGTTGGATAGCTGAGTGGTTATATTTGTTTAGGTAATAATGTACACTTAAATTTCTGATAAATTATAGAACCGTCATCGTACCCAATTACATTGTTTTGGTTTCAATCGGGCGAGGGCGCGTATCTAACTCATCCAGACAGCTGTCCTTCACTTCAAACCGTAGTTTGGATCTTACAGTTCTAAACAAATATTTTGGTCGAATTCGTTTGGCTTTCGTTTCGTTGATTCCAATGATTGTCTCTGGGAATATTTGGTCGTTCGCTTGCGATGCCAAACAATCGTCGAAGGAAATTAAGTCCAAGGCTCGTGGATGTTAAAAGAGATGAACAAAAGGATGGATCCCCTCAATCAAGGCAAGTGCCTTTTGATGCTTCTATGTGTCATGGTTCATATTCTAATAGGGACGATTGTAATTATAGTGAATCTAGTTGTGATATAATGGCAGATGGCATAGAAAACCTTAGTTTAGACGTGAAGCAAGCGAGAAGCGTGATGCCTACGGCGCCTTTCGTAGGTCCAGAGTTACCAAAGGTTGAGTTAAGTTATTTCGACGGTCAACCAAGAGGTTATTGTAAGTTTTTAATGGAGTTTGAGACCTATGTAGAATCAAGGGTCAAGGATGATGGTCAACGCTTGCTTTATTTGATACATTATTGTAAGGGTAAAGCGAAAACAGCCATTGAGGGTTGTGTTATGTTGGAAGCCTCTTCTGGTTAGAAGAAGGCCGAAGAAATTCTAAAACGGTTGTTCGGACAGGCGCATGTAATCGCTCGAGAGACACTAGAAGACTTATTCAGTGCCGAGAATTTTGATTATCCTGACGGAGATCAACAAACAAAATGTTCGGAAAGACGCATGTAATCGCACGGGAAACTTAAGAGGACTTATTTAAAAATACAACTGCTGATTACAGTGATCCTGAGCAACTGACAAATCTAGCGTTTCAGAATTTATTCGGCCTTCTTCTAACCAGAAGAGGCTTCCAACATAACACAACCCTCAATGGCTGTTTTCGCTTTACCCTTACAATAATGTATCAAATAAAGCAAGCGTTGACTATCATCCTTGACCCTTGATTCTACATAGGTCTCAAACTCCATTAAAAACTTACAATAACCTCTTGGTTGACCGTCGAAATAACTTAACTCAACCTTTGGTAACTCTGGACCTACGAAAGGCGCCGTAGGCATCACGCTTCTCGCTTGCTTCACGTCTAAACTAAGGTTTTCTATGCCATCTGCCATTATATCACAACTAGATTCACTATAATTACAATCGTCCCTATTAGAATATGAACCATGACACATAGAAGCATCAAAAGGCACTTGCCTTGATTGAGGGGATCCATCCTTTTGTTCATCTCTTTTAACATCCACGAGCATTGGACTTAATTTCCTTCGACGATTGTTTGGCATCGCAAGCGAACGACCAAATATTCCCAGAGACAATCATTGGAATCAACGAAACGAAAGCCAAACGAATTCGACCAAAATATTTGTTTAGAACTGTAAGATCCAAACTACGGTTTGAAGTGAAGGACAGTTGTCTGGATGAGTTAGATACGCGCCCTCGCCCGATTGAAACCAAAACAATGTAATTGGGTACGATGACGGTTCTATAATTTATCAGAAATTTAAGTGTACATTATTACCTAAACAAATATAACCACTCAGCTATCCAACCAATAATTGTCCAATTGATCAAATCTAAATTACAATAAATAAGAAAGTTGATAAAGGATGCAAGAAAATTACCAATCACCACAAATAAATGTTATTCTATCCTGTCTGGATAGATCACGTACAGATTCGTTCAAAAGGTAATAATTGGTCGCTCTATAACACAGAGTGTTTTCAATTCTGGAAGAGTGCTTCAATTCACAACCAAAATGCACAATTCCAGTCAACACAGGTCAAGCAATCAAAGGCAGGGATAAACCCAAATGGCTGCCGCCCAGACTTAGTATAAAGTAAAACAACATAAGTGCAGTTCGGGAAGAAACATGGGGAATTAGTGAAGGTGTAGTAAAAACGAAAACTATAATAAAATACAAATATTAACAGTTCAAATGTAGCCAAAAAGTTAACAATGTACAACTAAGAGGATCAATAGGAACAAAGTGCAAGTATATACATGGAGGGATTTTCACAAACACAAAGCATTCAAAATGGATCTTACACCGGCCCCCAAAATCCCTCCATATCACACAAGCTACCTTGATGCCTATGGTCATGGTTCATTATGTAGCATATGACACTATAGGAACGAGTAGGACTTACAACAGTACGCCTACTCGACCTACCTACATTAATAACAACAAAGACTAATCCGAAGCTTCAAGGAGACCTGCTTCACTTGTTCTCTGGTGTTCAACAATAACACTTGTGGTATAGACCTAATCACTCTTCCCCAAACCCCACCCATGCTGTTGGATGAGGGCCTCGCTGACAATTCACTATTTATCTTCTGCTGATTCGACTGATGCACAAACTTCCTTAACTCAGAAAATGCCCCCACGAAGCTTGACGCACTGTCACTGTAAATCTCCGGAGGTCTCCTTCTTCTTCCAATACAACGTAATAAGGCCATTATAATCAAACTACACATCATTTCAATATGTACTGCCCATGTTTGCAAACAAGTAAACACATATCCATACCCTTTTTCTAATAATCTTCCTATGTGTCCTTGTTCTTTAGGACAATGTCTGATTATCATTTCCGTCACTAAGTGTCGACTGGGTAAAATTACTGGATGTTTAAAAGCATTTGGGAAATCTGAGTATCTTAGTCGACCTCCAACGCAGAGTAACCAATCAAGCATTATCGGTGATAAGCCCTTCAGATCATTGTGACTAACTACTTTACCATTGTTTTTAAATCCACTAAGTATTTCTCCATACACTTCTTTCTGAACCATCAATAAAATTTTACGCTTGGCGATGTCAAGCTCTTTGACCTTTAAACATCCTAGATGAACGGATCCTTCATGACTCGGGGAACGAAGTACCATCAGGAATTCTATGAACCTTCTAAGCCAGGCTACGGCCCTGACTAATTTCAACCACTCGGAGTAATAAGAGAGAATAGGTGACATGTTGTACTTTATACTACTCAAGTTAACCACAGCAGTTTTTCTAAACTCACTATCGTCAGAGAATATTTGTGCGGTCTTATTGAAGGCAAAGTTCGCACGAAACGGCGATGATGTGGCACCAAATGCATGAGTTGTCATTTGAAACTCAGATGGTTCCCTCGACATGTCCCCCTCCTGCCCCCACAGAATTCATGAAACTCCTCTATCAGACTCAGGGAACTTCACTTGCATGAACATTTCTTCAACATCTGCAGGGATTGTAACTGTCTCCTTGCGAAAACTTAATAATATGCACATTAACTCAGCAGTGGTATCGGGTTCTTGATAAATCATATCATTCATGAAAACCCCTGCAAACTCGGCGGCACAATCAAGAACCACTCTAAGTTCTTCTGGTTTCTTCATGTTTAACACTGCATGATGAGGTAAATACCCTCTAGGGCGATAATCCGGCTGCAAATATATTTCAAGGACCCTCTCCGCATAAGTCTTAGTAAATTTACTCTCAATACTGTTGATATATCTGATGTGCAGACTGACATCCTTCGACAACATACCCTTCAAACTTTGTAATCTACGGTTTGCTACTTCATAATTATCCACTTTCATATTTGGATTCTTTTTCCACGGTATAGAAACTACAAAATGACCGTTGTCGAAGCGCGTGCCCCCTTCCACAATCTTTATAGCCGCCTTGTCGTCTACTGATAATGATTTATCATTTGAATAAGCATCTGGAAACTCTACATCATAAAGCTCACGTATTTCGTTCTCTAATGTCTGTACCTTACTGGTATGGTTAACAACTCTTTTCCTATATTCCGGGCATGATGGCTTATCATTTACGACGTTGCTTGTCGAGTCAGTGTGCAGCAGAACGTGATGTCTCTTCTCACAACAGTCAACGTTACAGAGCCTTGTCATCTTACATTCATTAACCTTATGTCCTTGTCTAAGACAGACAAAACAGATGCCCTTGCTTTTAGCGTGAGACCATCGGTCTTGAACTGTACGCGCTAAGAACTGTGGACATTTATCAACAGCATGGTCGTAGGAACACATACTGCACTTAGTTTTCGTTGTCGAACTATTCCCTTGCTCCGATTGCACGTGACAGTTCGTCTTTACGTTATGTCCTTTTCTTGAACAATTTGCTAACCGTCCAAATCTACTACACGCCACTCTCGCACGCGATGCGATAAACTGAGTGAGCTCGTCAAAGGTCGGTTCCCTGTTATCTTCAGTCAATTTGTCCACCAAGTCCGCCCACTGGGTTTGCATAGGCTGAGGCAAGAGTCTCACTATTCCTCCCAAGGTAACTAAGGAATTCAGATCAGAGACATAATTCATCTGTTCCAAGATCATAGCACAGTTTTCCATTTTAATAGCCAATTTTGTTTGTTGCTCTCCGTCAGGATAATCAAAATTCACGGCACTGAATAAGTCTTCTAGTGTCTCTCGAGCGATTACATGCGCCTGTCCGAACAACCGTTTTAGAATTTCTTCGGCCTTCTTCTAACCAGAAGAGGCTTCCAACATAACACAACCCTCAATGGCTGTTTTCGCTTTACCCTTACAATAATGTATCAAATAAAGCAAGCGTTGACCATCATCCTTGACCCTTGATTCTACATAGGTCTCAAACTCCATTAAAAACTTACAATAACCTCTTGGTTGACCGTCGAAATAACTTAACTCAACCTTTGGTAACTCTGGACCTACGAAAGGCGCCGTAGGCATCACGCTTCTCGCTTGCTTCACGTCTAAACTAAGGTTTTCTATGCCATCTGCCATTATATCACAACTAGATTCACTATAATTACAATCGTCCCTATTAGAATATGAACCATGACACATAGAAGCATCAAAAGGCACTTGCCTTGATTGAGGGGATCCATCCTTTTGTTCATCTCTTTTAACATCCACGAGCATTGGACTTAATTTCCTTCGACGATTGTTTGGCATCGCAAGCGAACGACCAAATATTCCCAGAGACAATCATTGGAATCAACGAAACGAAAGCCAAACGAATTCGACCAAAATATTTGTTTAGAACTGTAAGATCCAAACTACGGTTTGAAGTGAAGGACAGTTGTCTGGATGAGTTAGATACGCGCCCTCGCCCGATTGAAACCAAAACAATGTAATTGGGTACGATGACGGTTCTATAATTTATCAGAAATTTAAGTGTACATTATTACCTAAACAAATATAACCACTCAGCTATCCAACCAATAATTGTCCAATTGATCAAATCTAAATTACAATAAATAAGAAAGTTGATAAAGGATGCAAGAAAATTACCAATCACCACAAATAAATGTTATTCTATCCTGTCTGGATAGATCACGTACAGATTCGTTCAAAAGGTAATAATTGGTCGCTCTATAACACAGAGTGTTTTCAATTCTGGAAGAGTGCTTCAATTCACAACCAAAATGCACAATTCCAGTCAACACAGGTCAAGCAATCAAAGGCAGGGATAAACCCAAATGGCTGCCGCCCAGACTTAGTATAAAGTAAAACAACATAAGTGCAGTTCGGGAAGAAACATGGGGAATTAGTGAAGGTGTAGTAAAAACGAAAACTATAATAAAATACAAATATTAACAGTTCAAATGTAGCCAAAAAGTTAACAATGTACAACTAAGAGGATCAATAGGAACAAAGTGCAAGTATATACATGGAGGGATTTTCACAAACACAAAGCATTCAAAATGGATCTTACACCGGCCCCCAAAATCCCTCCATATCACACAAGCTACCTTGATGCCTATGGTCATGGTTCATTATGTAGCATATGACACTATAGGAACGAGTAGGACTTACAACAGTACGCCTACTCGACCTACCTACATTAATAACAACAAAGACTAATCCGAAGCTTCAAGGAGACCTGCTTCACTTGTTCTCTGGTGTTCAACAATAACACCTGTGGTATAGACCTAATCACTCTTCCCCAAACCCCACCCATGCTGTTGGATGAGGGCCTCGCTGACAATTCACTATTTATCTTCTGCTGATTCGACTGATGCACAAACTTCCTTAACTCAGAAAATGCCCCCACGAAGCTTGACGCACTGTCACTGTAAATCTCCGGAGGTCTCCTTCTTCTTCCAATACAACGTAATAAGGCCATTATAATCAAACTACACATCATTTCAATATGTACTGCCCATGTTTGCAAACAAGTAAACACATATCCATACCCTTTTTCCAATGATCTTCCTATGTGTCCTTGTTCTTTAGGACAATGTCTGATTATCATTTCCGTCACTAAGTGTCGACTGGGTAAAATTACTGGATGTTTAAAAGCATTTGGGAAATCTGAGTATCTTAGTCGACCTCCAACGCAGAGTAACCAATCAAGCATTATCGGTGATAAGCCCTTCAGATCATTGTGACTAACTACTTTACCATTGTTTTTAAATCCACTAAGTATTTCTCCATACACTTCTTTCTGAACCATCAATAAAATTTTACGCTTGGCGATGTCAAGCTCTTTGACCTTTAAACATCCTAGATGAACGGATCCTTCATGACTCGGGGAACGAAGTACCATCAGGAATTCTATGAACCTTCTAAGCCAGGCTACGGCCCTGACTAATTTCAACCACTCGGAGTAATAAGAGAGAATAGGTGACATGTTGTACTTTATACTACTCAAGTTAACCACAGCAGTTTTTCTAAACTCACTATCGTCAGAGAATATTTGTGCGGTCTTATTGAAGGCAAAGTTCGCACGAAACGGCGATGATGTGGCACCAAATGCATGAGTTGTCATTTGAAACTCAGATGGTTCCCTCGACATGTCCCCCTCCTGCCACCACAGAAATCTTGAAGCTCCTCGACCAGACTCAGGGAACTTCACTTGCATGAACATTTCTTCAACATCTGCAGGGATTGCAACTGTCTCCTTGCAAAAACTTAATAATATGCACATTAACTCAGCAGTGGTATCGGGTTCTTGATAAATCATATCATTCATGGAAACCCCTGCAAACTCGGCGGCACAATCAAGGACCACTCTAAGTTCTTCTGGTTTCTTCATGTTTAACACTGCATGATGAGGTAAATACCCTCGAGAGCGATAATTAGGCTGCAAATATATTTCAAGGACCCTCTCCGCATAAGTCTTAGTAAATTTACTCTCAATACTGTTGATATATCTGATGTGCAGACTGACATCCTTCGACAACATACCCTTCAAACTTTGTAATCTACGGTTTGCTACTTCATAATTATCCACTTTCATATTTGGATTCTTTTTCCACGGTATAGAAACTACAAAATGACCGTTGTCGAAGCGCGTGCCCCCTTCCACAATCTTTATAGCCGCCTTGTCGTCTACTGATAATGATTTATCATTTGAATAAGCATCTGGAAACTCTACATCATAAAGCTCACGTATTTCGTTCTCTAATGTCTGTACCTTACTGGTATGGTTAACAACTCTTTTCCTATATTCCGGGCATGATGGCTTATCATTTACGACGTTGCTTGTCGAGTCAGTGTGCAGCAGAACGTGATGTCTCTTCTCACAACAGTCAACGTTACAGAGCCTTGTCATCTTACATTCATTAACCTTATGTCCTTGTCTAAGACAGACAAAACAGATGCCCTTGCTTTTAGCGTGAGACCATCGGTCTTGAACTGTACGCGCTAAGAACTGTGGACATTTATCAACAGCATGGTCGTAGGAACACATACTGCACTTAGTTTTCGTTGTCGAACTATTCCCTTGCTCCGATTGCACGTGACAGTTCGTCTTTACGTTATGTCCTTTTCTTGAACGATTTGCTAACCGTCCAAATCTACTACAAGCCACTCTCGCACGCGATGCGATAAACTGAGTGAGCTCGTCAAAGGTCGGTTCCCTGTTATCTTCAGTCAATTTGTCCACCAAGTCCGCCCACTGGGTTTGCATAGGCTGAGGCAAGAGTCTCACTATTCCTCCCAAGGTAACTAAGGAATTCAGATCAGAGACATAATTCATCTGTTCCAAGATCATAGCACAGTTTTCCATTTTAATAGCCAATTTTGTTTGTTGCTCTCCGTCAGGATAATCAAAATTCACGGCACTGAATAAGTCTTCTAGTGTCTCTCGAGCGATTACATGCGCCTGTCCGAACAACCGTTTTAGAATTTCTTCGGCCTTCTTCTAACCAGAAGAGGCTTCCAACATAACACAACCCTCAATGGCTGTTTTCGCTTTACCCTTACAATAATGTATCAAATAAAGCAAGCGTTGACCATCATCCTTGACCCTTGATTCTACATAGGTCTCAAACTCCATTAAAAACTTACAATAACCTCTTGGTTGACCGTCGAAATAACTTAACTCAACCTTTGGTAACTCTGGACCTACGAAAGGCGCCGTAGGCATCACGCTTCTCGCTTGCTTCACGTCTAAACTAAGGTTTTCTATGCCATCTGCCATTATATCACAACTAGATTCACTATAATTACAATCGTCCCTATTAGAATATGAACCATGACACATAGAAGCATCATAAGGCACTTGCCTTGATTGAGGGGATCCATCATTTTGTTCATCTCCTTTAGCATCCACAAGCCTTGGACTTAATTTCCTTCGACGATTGTTTGGCATCGCAAGCGAATGACCAAACATTTAGAGACAATGATTGGAATCAACAAAACGAAAGCCAAACGAATTCGACCAATATATTTGTTTAGAACTGTAAGATCCAAACTACGGTTTGAAGTGAAGGACAGTTGTCTGGATGAGTTAGATACGCGCCCTCGCCCGATTGAAACCAAAACAATGTAATTGGGTACGATGACGGTTCTATAATTTATCAGAAATTTAAGTGTACATTATTACCTAAACAAATATAACCACTCAGCTATCCAACCAATAATTGTCCAATTGATCAAATCTAAATTACAATAAATAAGAAAGTTGATAAAGGATGCAAGAAAATTACCAATCACCACAAATAAATATTATTCTTTTCTGTGTTAATGGACCTCGTACATATTCTTTGTTTCCATTCAAATCTTTCTTACGCCTCATAATATCTCTCCTATCTCCACGTCTAACCCTTCTCACGTCCCTTTATCACCTCGCAACGCTAGGGCAAACGATTCGAGTACGCGGAACGTTATTCCCGGTCTCCTGAAACCACGCTCTAAACTACATGTAGAAGCCTTTAACGTCCGAACACTGTGCCAAATAGGAAAACAAGCTTTCTTAGCTGGGACTTTAGAATCTCGCGCCATCGATGTGTGCTGCGTCTCCGAAACGCGCATACAGGATCCGAGTAGTGTCATTCATTTGACCTCACCATGCGAAAATAAAGAACCGACTCGATTCAAGCTTCATGTATCTGGAAGCTTTGACGCTGCTTCTCGTGGTCTGGCCGGCGTAGATGTAGCATTGAGTCCTAGGGCAGAACTAGCTCTCTTAGACTGAATCAAAGTAAACGGTCGTGTGTGCGCTGACCGACTAAACGGAACAGTAAGAATCCGGAAAGATGGAGACACTCGTCGTTGCCTCTTCGTCGTCTCTGCCTATTCTCCCACTGACTGCAGCTCAGATGATGTAAAAGATGAGTTTTACAGAAAGCTTTCCGACCTTCTCCGAAAAGCTAGGCGCTCTGATGTAGTAATAATGGCTGGTGACTTTAATGATCAAGTAGGTAAACCAAGTGATGGGGAAAGACACCTAGGTGGATCTTATGGTGTCGTTGGTCAAAGAACAGATAATGGCGACCGTCTGTTGCAGCTATACTCAGATAACCGCCTGTTCCTTGCAAATACTAACTTTAAGCATAAGGAAAAACATCTTTTGACATGGCTACCCCATAATTCGTCCCAACGTTGGACCCAAATAGATCACATCGCTATCAGCCACCGATGGAGGGGCTCGATAGAAGACTGTCGCTCATTCTGGAGCACATGCTTAGATTCAGATCATGCTCTAGTACGAGCGCGTATTTGTCTGCGTCTTACTGGACGTAGGAAAGGTGCTGCCAGGAAACCTCTTAGGGGCCTACTTAATTATAGTCAAGCTAAGAGTATATTTCAGGAACAACTAGAAAAACAGTTAGGCAGCCGTGTATGTGATGCCCACTCCGAGGCAGCATGGAATGATATACGAAAGGCTGTGGAAACAGCAGTGATATCTGCTAGTATGGTAAACCACAAGGTTAGGGAGCAACACTGGATCTCAGCAGCATCTATCGCACTGATAGATGCTCGGAAACTCATTCCACCTGGCTCTGAACATAATGAAGAGCGGAGTCAGCTTAAGCACAAGCTGAAAAGAAGCCTACTCAATGATCGCGAACAGTGGTGGGTAGCGAAAGCAAGAGAGATGGAAAAGGCAGCGGCAATAGGTATTAGCAGACAATTGTTCAAACTTGTTAAGGAAACCGACTGTTAGCGAAACACTCTCAGAGAAAGATGGACATATTATACGTTCTCAATCCAGGAGATTGGATCGATGGGCAGAGCACTTTAGGGATCAGTTCAACTGGCCTTCAGCCACACTTCGGTTTCCCACAATCTCTAGTCAACCTGAATGGCAAGTTAATGTAGGTCCTCCGTCCCTTTACGAAGTTGAAAAAGCCATAGGAAATCTGAAACGAGGGGGAGCAGCAGGCCCTGACAGGTTTACTCCTGAGATTTTTAAGGATGGTGGTTCAGTATTAGCAGTGAGATTAACTGAGGTCTTAGGTAGAATTTGGGAACTGGACGTAATCCCATCTGACTGGTCTCAATCACTGATTGTGCCAATCTATAAGAAAGGACAAAGGTCCTCTTGTGACAATCACAGAGGAATTAGCTTGACTAATATAGTGTCTAAAAATATTAGCCTCAATAATACTTCGACGCCTAATCAAAGCTCATGAAGAACAGACTAGAGAAAACCAGGCTGGTTGTCGACCTGGATGTGGTTGTATAGACCAGATATTCACACTAATTCAGGTCCTAGAATATAGACACAGATTCAGACACCCCAATATCGTAGTATTTATCGTCCTTAAGGCGGCATTCGACTCTGTTGATCGTGAGGTTCTATGGCAGTATTTGTCACTGAAAGGAGTACCAAGGAAGCATATTAACCGTGTTAAGGCTCTTTACTCGAACACAACTGGTAGAGTGAGAGCTTATGGCGAATTGTCATCAAAATTGATTACCTCAAGTGGTGTTCGTCAGGGATGTCCACTCTCTCCATTCTTGTTTAATTTTGTCGTTGACATGCTTTTAGAGATAACACTCCTCATGTAAATTCCCAGGGGTTGAACTTCTACCGGGAGGTTCACTTTTTGACCTAGAATATGCCGTTGACATAGTTCTATTTAGTGAAGACGCTGACAAAATGCAGAGTCTTCTGACCACTCTAAGCAACAATGCAAGCATGTTCGGGATGCGATTCTCTCCCTCGAAATGCAAAATGTTGCTTCAAGATTGGGCTGCATCGACACCCGAACTAATGATAGGGAGTGAAGTAGTTGAGTGTGTCTATCGCCTCACTTATCTCGGGAGTCTCATCAGCCCTTGTGGTCTGGTGTGTAACGAAATCTCAGCACGGATGCAGAAGGCTCGACTAGCTTTTGCCAACTTGCGTCATTTATGGCGTAGGCGAGATATCCGTCTACCAACCAAAGGGCGTGTTTACTGCGTAGTAGTTCGTTCCGTCCTACTTTATGGCAGTGAAACATGGCCGTTACGAGTAAAGGATATCCGTAGGTTACTAGTATTCGATCATAAGTGTCTTCTAAGCATTGCTTGTATATCCTGGGACCACCGAGTAAGTAATGCAGTTGCTAGGAAACATGTACTAGGTAAGGATGACAAATCAATTGATGAAGTAGTAAAACTTCATCAGTTGAGATGGCTGGGACACGTGTTACGTATGCTAAACCACTGACTGCCCCGACGTGCGATGTTCAGTGGTATAGGAGTAGGTTGGAAGAAAGCTAGAGGCGGCCAGACCAAAACATGTCACAAATTCATGAAGTTACTGACAAAGTGAATTGAGTCATGTTGGTAGGTGTAGACTACCTGGTTGGGATCCGCGAAGTGATAAAAACAGATGGTTAGAGACCTTTAATGACATGGCTCAAAACTGTTTGCAATGGCGCAGATGCATCCACTCTCTGTGTTCTCCCAAATTCTAATCTTCTGAATTATTAATGTCTCTTTTTTCACTCTTTCCAAATTTATTTCACTGTATTATGCTGCTTGAATAACATCTTCAAACCCTAATGTTTCCGATTACTGCTTATATTCTTACCACCTCTACCACTACGGGATTTGAATCGACAACTGCATCTCTGTGCTAAGGGGGAGTGTGTAGTGTCAGTTATTATATTAAGCCCATATACCTTATTCTAGCTTTTGGACATCCCATTCTATTCATTCTACCCGAGCCATACTTTGACCTTGTTATTTATTCGCTTATCAATCTAGACTGTTTTTATATGAGCTTATATGTGTGTACACTTCATGTCCCATGATTCATCACATGTCTGTAGTTTATTTTGTCTGCCTATAAATATTGAGTAACGCTTAACTAAAATGGAGTTGGCTTCCCAGCCATCTTCCATACGTGTCATTTTTGCTTTGTTATGGCTCTCGCTCGCTTTGCATGCGAATGGGTCACTTCATTGGTAAGCCCGCCGACGACGAACGCAACGCAGCAAGCTACGTCGATGAAGGAACTTCTGCACTCTATACGTTCGACGAACAAATTCAGCGAAGCCAGCGCAATATCCAATCCGACGCAATCAACGAAGCCTGTACAACATGACATGGACATGCTCAAGTCGTATTATCTTATCGATACTTTGTCCTCATGTCAGCTATTCTCATTGATCCATTTGTCGGATTGTTCCATTACGATTCAAATTATAATTATATGCTTATTATTACACTATTATCAATATCATGACCGAATGTGGAATTATTAATATTGTTCGTGCTGTCATTAAATTATGACATTTTCGCAATCATATCACTCACCGAACAAATTATCATTTTATGAAAATTCCACTCCGCTTAATGACATCCAGAACTCATTGGGATATTTTTACCATTCAAAAACGTGAAATTTTCCTGCTTTAAGTGAGTTCGTTCCAATTTTTCATGTCATTTTGATCTAATATTGCATTCATTCACTTAGCCGAGGTCAGCAATTTATGTTATCACAACATACATTTTTCATTTCGAAATCGCCTCCTATTATGTCCGTGGATGCCTCTAACTAGCTGATTAGTATCCATTACGTTCATTTTATCTATTCTTTCACATGCATTACTGCATGCTGTATCATTAATTACCCAAAAACGCTATTCGAGTACTGTGACTACTATTCTATACCAATCGCACTGTATATCAGAACATAGAGTTTAGAGCTAGTCTCTCAAAGATACACTCTTGTTCGTCACATCCAAGTCAGTCTCATACGTCGCCATCACTAATCATATGTATTGGTATTTCTGACATGCCTTGGTACGGTTTTGTAACAAACGAGGTCGACCGCATCTCCCTCAAACCACACTAGGCTTCATGACCAAAAAGGAATTCGACTCTACGTACCTCGTCTATTCAGTCACTATTCTGTTCCTCTGGTCATTCTTCTACTAATACATATTTAACGATAACTCAATGCACCTGTCATAACGCAGACGACAATGTTCACTGACTTCATATTTTATGATTATTATCAATCGCAGAACAAATTCGAATTCACTCATCACTAGTCGATGCTATTTATTCTGCTGCGACTCAACAGAACATATATTTAACGTATTTCACTATTTCGTCAGCACCACAGACCAATTTCTGTCATATTCTACTCTAGCCATTTTGACGATTTATTTCGCTGTTATACCTACAAACAATTTATTACTGTTTTCACGATACTTTGAATCACTCATACAAACATGTTATTTTATCGTTCAGACAGTCATAGAATTAGTGGATGTTAATTTTTGGTACGCTCAATAATTTACTCATATTCACATGCTAACATTTCCATTTTTGTCCGCGTCTTTTCTATATTCATGTGTTCTTTTGCGTAGGTATGACATTTTCATATAATACGCTCACCCCTCATGTGACACTGTACTTTATCGAGTGTTGTACAGTTTTTTTTGGCTACTTATTGTTAACGTTAGCTTTATACCCACTTCAGTGTTATTTTCGAAAACAGACATTTTTTAAATGTGCTATTTTCTACGAGGGGGCTATGTAGTGTCAGTTATTATATTAAGCCCATATACCTTATTCTAGCTTTTGGACATCCCATTCTATTCATTCTACCCGAGCCATACTTTGACCTTGTTATTTATTCGCTTATCAATCTAGACTGTTTTTATATGAGCTTATATGTGTGTACACTTCATGTCCCATGATTCATCACATGTCTGTAGTTTATTTTGTCTGCCTATAAATATTGAGTAACGCTTAATTAAAATGGAGTTGGCTTCCCAGCCATCTTCCCTGTGTGTCATCTTGCTTTGCTGTTTCATTCACTTCATATACAAAATATATGTATTCACAAATCAATTCTCGTTATTCGACTTATTTAATTCCGTTATTGGATAACGCGATCTAAGTCGACGATGATATACGAGAATAGGCGATAGCAAACATTTATACGATCTAAATAGGAGTCAGATCAAACGGGTCACTTCAAGTGGCAAATCGAACTGATGTACATACGTACGAAATTCTACATTGTACTGACTGACTGACTGAGAACTACGGTTGGACTGATGGACAGCTGTCTGGATGAATTAGATACGCGCCCTCGCCCGATTGAAACCAAAACAATGTAATTGGGTACGATGACGGTTCTATAATTTATCAGAAATTTAAGTGTACATTATTACCTAAACAAATATAACCACTCAGCTATCCAACCAATAATTGTTCAATTGATCAAATCTAAATTACAATAAATAAGAAAGTTGATAAAGGATGCAAGAAAATTACCAATCACCACAAATAAATGTTATTCTATCCTGTCTGGATAGATCACGTACAGATTCGTCTAGACAGTCTACAAGTGGAATGATATGCTGCAGCTTGTCTTTGTATTTGGTCCTAGCTTCGTATGGCCTATCCGGCTGCATGTGGATTACAGGTGGTATTCGACGTCTATTGACACGAAATGCGTACAGAGTTGCAGCCGCCATATGGGAAGATGGGAAGGTTATCTTCATTAGACGGGGTCTAGAACCACCGTTCTTCTTGGCTAGTCTCGTCACATTCTGATTGAGTATGTTTTTGAGCCTCAAGGACTGTTTGATGTATTTCCATTCCCTGATGTCAGGCTTTGATTGAGTAGGGTCCGTATTTTCCGGTATAGCTTGCACGATTATATTCCTCCCGCGGAAAAACCAGTTGACTTCCGTTCAACAGCTGGGATGTTCAACTTAGACTGTGACGCCTGGCCCCTTTTAGCTCTTTTGACATGGATCCAATCACCTACAGAGTTTTTGAGAACCACTGTCGCGTTCAAGGACCTTGAGCTGTGAGACCCAAGTTTGCTGATGGAGTCAAGTACGGTTGTCGTAATCATGGTGCTGAGTTCCAGCGTGTCATCATTAATGCTGTTGTATGCTCTGCCGTTGGTAAACCTGCCGACATTCCTATTCTCGTTTTCAATGCGCTTTCTTGTTTGTCTACCCATTTTTTGACTGTCTTTTCCCAAGTTTGCAGACAACTTACTCTGCAGACCTGTCAGTAGGGCATTGATATTGCTCAGCAAGACTGCAGCATCCGTGCTCCACGTAACACATTCCCACTCATGATCCAACTTGCTGAGTCTGTTGTAAGCAGTTGCTGTGAGATCTGTGCACGCTTCGTGGAACCAACCTTTGCAGTTGTCGCACTGCATGCCAGATGTAACAGCAAAACGGAATCCAGGTCGTTTGCATGAATTTTTCATGACTGTATTGACGTAAACTGTGTTACAGATGCTAGCAAAAGCCTAAGACCGTAAAAAATACACTAAAAAACACACTGAAGACGGACAAAAATGGATAAAACGGATGAGATAAGCTGAACTTGTCTTTACGTGAAAAAGTGAAAAAAACCGAATAATAAACTGAAGCAAGACCCCAGTTAACTATTAAACTGGGTGAAACTAAAAAAGAAAGTAATCAGCCGAACGTTTAGCTCAGGATAGAATCTTTTGGACAGAAATGGTACTTTTGTTGCGTAAGAACACATCAAAAGTTTGATAAATGGAAATCACGTTAGGACTAAACTTTCCGATCGAAAAGCGCGGTTGTCAAATCAGTAGGTACTTATACATTCCATGTACCTGGATCACTAATTCAAGATATTTGGAATCAATCGCTATTAGACGAGGGAGCTTGGTGAATGGAAACTTTAATTTCCTGCTTAAGTATTTTAATCACTTGAACATATGAAAATGTGAGGTCGGCAACTCGTTGGAGAAACAGTCAGACACCATCGCGCTTAGACTGTGTATTCACGAACGAAGAATTTCTAGTTGACAACCTCTCAATCCTGGCTCCTTTGGGAAAGAGCGATCATGCCGTCATCGCCTTCAGTTTTGTCATCAAAACTAAGCTAAGATACCCCACCAATGACTTGCGTTGGAATTTTAAACGGTTAAATGTGCCAGCGTTACACGACTATCTACAACAGGTGGTTTGGGATGTTCACCCCCAACTCGACGTGGACGGTCATCGGGACTTCTTACGTGCTACAAAGCAGTCAGTTCCTCAAACGGTTCCCAAAAGCTGCAAGCCACCTACAATAATCAAGAACCGTACCCTTCGCCTGCTAAGCTGCAAAAGGCACTGTTGGGCGGAATACAAACGAACTGACAACGACGGAGCGTACAAGCAATATAAACATATCAGGAACATATGCACGAAGGCTATAAGAGAAGACAGGCTTCAGTGCCAGACAAAGCTTATGGACACATTTGCCTCCAATCCTAAAAGCTTATTCTGTTATTCAGCCTCTCTTCGTCAAGCCAAAACAGGAGTTTCTCAACTGCTAGGTCTTAACGGCCCGACCAACAACGATGGCGACGCCGCTAACCTTCTGGCTGAACATTATTTCCAGACATTTCAACCGACCGACATTAACTTTACTGATGACAGTTTCGTTTGCAATTCCACAGGATTTTCCGAAGTGAACCTAAGCGCTGACTTGGTGTTCCGGAAACTGCAACACTTAAGATTAGACACTTCTCCTGGCCCGGACATGGTCCATTGTGCCATACTGAGGGAAGCAGCCACAATCTTGGCAACGTCGTTTAGCGTCATGTTCTCACACTCGCTAAGTCGAGGAAAACTACCGGAAGATTAGAGGCTGGCTCACATCACACCAATTTTCAAAGGAGGTCGACGTAGCGAACCTTCAAGTTACCGACCGGTGGCTCTTCTCTCCATACCTTCAAAAATCATGGAGTCCCCGATATGCGACGGTTTAAACGACTATCTACTGTCCTTAAATTTCTTCTCACCCGAACAGCATGGTTTCAGGAAGGGTTACTCTTGTATTACCAACCTGCTGATTGCGGTGGACAGATGGACAAGCATCCTCGATCGCAAGGGAAAGGTTGATGTCATTTACCTTGATTTCTCAAAAGCTTTTGATAAGGTTAACCACTTGTGTCTTATCAATAAGCTCAAACAACTAGGTATCAAACCACCTCTAATCGATTGGCTTACTTCATACCTAAAAAATCGACACTTTAAGGTTAGAGTTAATTTCACTTTATCTCAGGCTATGGAATGTCCTAGTGGGGTGCCCCAGGGCTCAGTACTAGGGCCTCTTCTCTTCTTGATCTACATAAATGATCTTCCTCAACAGGTAACGTCAGACTTATTACTTTTTGCCGACGACGTGAAACTTTGGAGAGAGATACGCAACCAAGACGATATACAGGCACTTCAGGAGGATCTGACTCGACTTCAAAGTTGGGCAGACGATAACGGACTTACCTTTAACACTTCAAAGTGTAAAGTAGTCCATCTGCGACATGTCGCAAACTACAGTTACAACTTAGGAAACTCCTCTCTAGTAGTATCCCAAGTCGAAAAAGATTTAGGAGTCCTGATGCCCCATGATTTGAAGTCCTACGCTAACTGTGACAAAAATGCCTTCCGAGCAAACCTTGCACTGGTAACGTTGAAGCGCATTTTTGGACAGTTTGACGGACGAAGTTTCCATACAATCTTCAATAGTTTCATCCGTCCCCATTTAGAGTACGGAAACATAGTACTCCCCCCTCACTCCAAAAGGACAAGGTCACTTTGGAGCGTATCCAACGACGAGCCACGAAATCAGTTCGAGGACTCAAATCTAAACCTTATGAAGAACGCCTCCATTCACTTAACCTTTACCCATTAGAATATAGACGTTTTAGAGGTGATTTATTGATGGCTTATAGTATTCTTAACACTTCTGGACATCCTCTCAGACACCTACTTAAGCTTAGTTCGAATAATAACCTAAGGGGCAACACCCAGAAACTGGAAACACAACATAGCAAGACGGAATGTAGACACAACTTCTACTCCTTAAGAGTTGTCAAATGCTGGAATTCGCTGCCGGCCGAGCTAGTCCAAGCGACTTCTCAGGAGTCCTTCAAGAGGCAACTTGACCAACTCTTAAGAACCAAGAACAGCATCACACTATGATCTACCAATTTCTTTTCCTCTTTTATTGTTAACATACCTAGGTTCCTGCCTGGAGGATTTGGTGATCCTCTGCTACTAGAAATGGAAGCCTGTTAAGCGGAAGCTTCTTCTATTCCGTCCACAACCATTTGAACATGCTACTACTCGACAGTGCGGGTATTTCCAAATGGACGCCACGACTTAAGTCTACGGGCTGTAAGTTCAAAATGGTTGTAAGTTGTAAGTCATTGAAACATATGTCTCACTTAGTGTTACTAACCTGGGATCCCTAAAACGTCTGTTGCCTACGGATTCTTGCATAATTTACTGTCCATACTGTTTGGCACAACGTGTTTTACAACTAGTCTCCCCCGAATATTTGCCTATTTAGTCACCAGTCAGCTGTGAATCTAAACGATTTCGGGTTATTTCATCACATTTTCTAAAAATCACTCGCGGAGTGCTTTTTTCTTATACTCTGGATATATAAATGCACCTACAACACCTATTCCATATATTTAGATATACATTGCCAGAAGTTAGCCTAGCACAGTGGAATGCAACAGATGAACATCAAATCTTGAGAACCAAACGCTTTAAATACATGCATATATTGGCTTGCTAGACACTACCAAGAACCCCTTTTGTACCTGGGACGAGTGTGTTGAATGACTCCCCGAGCTCCCAATTTTGGTTAAGCCCCCAACGTTTGGGGAAATATTCGGGTTTTTGTGCCATTTCCCCAAAATTGGGTGCTCGGATCAGCAATTTCTAGATCAATAATATGTAGAAATTATTAGTCCCATGAGTCATCGGAAGGGTAATGACTCCACAGATTTCATGAAGCGCAGTTAAATATAGACAATAAATTTAGTGACACCTATCGAAAAGAATGTCTGTAGGCCGCATTTTAGGTAGGTAGGTGCGGACTATCAGCTGAGAGTCTGCATGGTCATCGTAACAGATGTTTAGGGCTGCCATAGTTCAGCATCGTTCACCAGGTCTATCTCCCCTTTAAGTTGATGGAATCGTCCTCGCTGATTTATATTTTAATCGTATCATGGATCCCTAATCTTTCCTATTACCACTAATGTTTTCACTGCCTCAACTATTCTGGGATTTGCCCTTACAAATTCATCTCACCTTTGAGGATAGCAGCGTACACTGGTATACACGTGTTAGGTTCTACTTTCCCTTTGACTGATTGATTCTAAATCCTCGTCAATTAACTGTCGCCACTTCTAGAGATCGTTAGTATTTTGATTTACAATTGTAAAGTTTTG